TTTTTCGTTGCCTGTTCGTTGCCTTTCGCGGTTGTCTCGCGAGACGAGACGCGGAGCCATGAATCTGCATTGTTGTTCGTGGCCTGTTCGTTGCCTTTTCGTGGGGGTCTCGTTTCGTTGCCCTTTCGTGGCCTTTCGCGGTTGTTTCGCGGTCGTCTCGTGGGGCGAGACGCGGAGCCATGAATATTCATGGTTTTTCGTTGCCTTTTCGTTGCCTTTTCGTGGGGGTATCGTTTCGTTGCCATTTCGTTGCCTTTTCGCGGTTGTTTCGCTTAGCTGTTTCGCAGAGCTCCGCTACCAGGTAGGTCTATGGGCCTCCGTTCCACGCGCGGCGCCATGCCTACGGGCTGAGCCAAAAGGCTAGGAGGAGGAGGAGGATGCCTCCCGCAGCCGCTGCCGAGGCCAGAGGACGCCTTTTATCGGGGCGCTGAACGCCCGAGCAAGCTTCAGCGAAGGTGCACCGGCACAGATGATTGGGCAGCGGGCGGAGGCGAGCCAGACGGCCAGCTGCACGACACTGAGACGAGGGTACAAAATGACGCGCGAGGGAGGGAGGGTTGGGAGCGCAAACAATGAGACCTCAAATGGCCATGGAATGGCAAAGGAGTGTGCACTGATCCATGGCCCTGAAATGCGGCCTCTCATGCTGTGGCGTCTGGCAATCAACAACGAAGTAGTGAGCATGCCTCCCGCCGCCGCTGCCGAGGCCAGAGGGCGCCTTTTATCGGGGCGCTGAACGCCCGAGCAAGCTTCAGCGAAGGTGCACCGGCACAGATGATTGGGCAGCGGGCGGAGGCGAGCCAGACGGCCAGCTGCACGACACTGAGACGAGGGTACAAAATGACGCAAACCTGCCAAACAATCCTTGGTCATCTCGATAAACTACTGAACCATTCACCGTTAAACAAAAAGACTGGACATTGTTATTGTCTTACAGCTGCCATGAGCGCGATCGAAACAGCGAGCGAGGGCCTCGCACAAAGCGGGGGGATACTGCTGAGCGGCTTTCGTTTTAAAGCCGCCTCCTTTGGCGAGGCCATGAATTGATGTGTGCTTTCTTCTGCTGCGAGAGCAAAGCTTGCCGTGGCACTCACGAGCCACGGGCTGCAGAGAGACGCGATCCCCTAAAATTCGGGTTGGCTTCTTCCATGGCGCCCCCCATTGGCGCATGTCTGTATGCACGAGCTGGCTAGTACTCCAGGCAGCAGCTTTTTTGAGACGAGGCAGCAGCCAAAGACGTGACCGCGCAGGGTTCTCCAGCGCCACTGGGCGCTGGAGCCAGTGCATCAACTCAAAAATACTGCAACTGAAACGGGCGAGATTATTACCAATTCGAATGGCCTGCACATCGACAGGATGGGTGACCGCAGGAAGCCCCATCAGATGCTGGTCGGATCGGAGCCGCGATGGGAGCACTGGTCCATCTTGACCCCGCTCCCGCAGCGGCCCTGTGTCCCTGGCCCTTGTCCACGTCTGGCAAGGCGTACCCATGAAGACTCCCCAGACTTGCCCGGCCAGGATCCAGCCTCTCACGAGCTTCTGGGCCTTCCGTGCTGACAGGTCCCACGCGGGCCCACGGCAGATGTCCCACTCGAGCACGACGAAGCCCCTTTCGCGAAGCGACCGCGAGAGCCCGCCATGCCCGCTGAACAACTCTAGAAAGACCTGCGGCTGGACCAGGCGGGCACCTCGGCAGGCCAAGGCGCGAGCGAAAGCCTCGCGAGGCAGATCGGCAGCCGCGCCGCTGCCTCGACTGCCCTCGCGCGGACGCCTAGGGGCCGCCGCTGCAGCTGCTCGCTCGCGTGCCCCTCCTTCTCGTCGAACTGCCCTGTCCTGCCGCTGATCTCCTCCTCGCTCGGGTGCAGCACGATCGCCCGGTTCGCCACGTGGGTCCCCGGCACGGGCGGCGCGAGCATCTCGGCGATAAACCGCTGCAGCTCGCTGGGGCGGAAGCAGCAGTGGACGGTGGCGACCGTCCAGGCCGCCATCGCCCAGAAGCCGGTCAGCAGCATCTCCAGCGCGATCAGCGCGACGACCTCCCAGGGCAGCGGCAGCCGCGCCCGCCCAGAGGCGAGCCGCTTCCAGCCCTTCACGGCCTGCGCCGGGCGCGGAAGGGAGAGCCCTCCCGACCTTGCGAACTGCGTCCGGAAGTAGCTCACCGCCGCGAGCTCCTTTGTGCCCCCCTGCGCCAGCTCCCCGAACGAGATCTCCTGGTCCATCCAGCTCGCGACCACGAAGTCTGTCTCGTCGTCGCTTGGCGCCGACTGCAGGGAGCACACAGCGCGCCACCGCAGCCACACGCGGAGGATGTCCTGCCACAGACCGTCGCACTGGCCCACGGTCTTCGGCGCCACCGACGCCCGCTGCAGCAGCGACCCAGGGCCTCCGAGCGCTGCCCGACGAGCAGCCGCAGCCGCTCCCTGCTCGCGCCTCGCAGCTCCCGCCATCCTGCGGCTCCGGGCCGCGGGCGGGGGCAACGTCCGCAGCACCTGGCGCGACTGGGCCGCGACTGCCCTCAGGTGCCGCCCCCTCCGCGGCTGGGGCCGCCCCGCCAGCGGACCGCCTCGCCGCTGGGCGTGCGGGCCGGCGGGCGCCCCGAAGCACGCCGACGGCAGGCTCGCGGACGGCCAGCTCGGCGAGCTCGAGGCCGGCGCTGCGGCAATCCGCCTGCTGGCTGCTGCGCCCGGCGTCCCGGACGGCCCACTGCTCGATGCCCTCGGCAGAGTCCGCCGCGCCGTTGTCGATCCAAACCCTGAGGGGGATGTGGCGGCGCGACGGAGCATCGGCGACGTTCCGCTCAGACGGAATCCAACGCACCGAGGCCTGCACCGCACCCGCCAGGCACCAGGCACCCCATTGCCGGGCGACGCGGAGGACTCCCCCGGCTGAGGAGCGGCCCTTCTCCATAGCACACACGAGCCCCATGTTATCGCAAAGGAAGAGGATACGCTTACCGAAAGACTTCGAGTCGCGAAGTGCGTGCCTCAGAGAGTGAACGAGTGCCCGACCTTCAAGGACGATGATCTTCTCGGACCGGGCCCACCCTCCGCTCGAAACGACCTGCCACCTTCCCCCGTACAGTTTCTCCTCCACCTCCGGGACGTTCCACAAGTTACCCTCAGGATCCTCCACCGCCTCCTCCGGCGACACGACGTGCTCCACATTCGGCGACACGACGGAATCGGCGATCGGCTCGACCTTCGCGGTGTCGGCGGACGGCGGGTCGCTCTGCTCGAAGAGGCAGTCTCGAGGCCTAGAAGCAGTTCCTCGTCGGAATCGCCACCTCCCCCCGTATCTCCCAGCACCGCGAATGGCTCCCAGGTCGGCCTCCTTCTGGCACACGCCCCTCCCCTCCTCGCTAGCGTCGCTCGCGTAGACCCTGGGAGACCAGGTAGCCCGGAGATCAGCCCAGGCGAGGGGGATCAGGGAGGCGGCCCAACGAAGCTCACGGCGGACTGACGGCGGCAGCTTCATCACACGATCGAAGTACTTCCTCGAGAAAGCATACACAGAACTAAATGCGGCCAAGAGCGGGCGCCTCGACATAGCAATGAAAGCGAAGTGCCCAGCAATCTCCCCTACTTGTCGCCCCGAAGCGTGCCCACGAGCAAGCAAACCCTGGATCCCAAGACGAAGCCTCCATGCACGACGGCTCTTGGGCCTCACAGCTCCACGCTCACCATCGAAGACCCAACCCAGCTGCTCAGACACAGAGGCGGGAAGATCAGGATCGTGAAGAGGGAGCCCCGCGCTGCTCAAGGCCTCTTGGGCCGACCTCAGGAGGGCCGCGGGCCTATCAGGATCCACACCAAAAGAAATGAAATTGTCAACATAAGCAGTGTAGGCCCCGTCCTGGATGTGAGGTGCTGGCATACCGTCGACCAATTCAGGAACGCTATCGAAATCTCCCTTCTGGAGTAAGATATTTCTGTGCACTTTCTGGCAAAAATCCAGCGCGTGCGTCCAGCCCATGGGCAGGGCGGCCAAACACGGGCGCACCCAAGCGCGGCCCGGAACTGGGCGCCCGCCCAGCTCACGTACCCCGAGCTGTGCTGCCCGAAGCCGAGGGAGCGCAAAGAGGTGCCGGAGCTCCGGCGGCAGGCCCATGTTGTAGAAGGCGTCCGCGATATCGACCCCTGCCGTCCACAGCACCTCGCCCGGCGCAAGCTCGATGGAGCTGAAGCTGCCCCCCGAGGCCAGGCTGGTCTTGTCGGGCTCCGCGAACCTGAAGTTGCTGCCCCGGCAATCGATCACCAGGCGTTGGCGACCATCCTTCTTCCAAACGGTGAACAGTCCGACTTCCTCAAAATCGCCCTCATCGACCCTGAACTCCAGCATGCCACCGTCCCTCATCCTCTCGACGAAGGCAAGGTAGGCCGCGGGCTGTCGCAGCACTGGATCCAGGTAAGGGCGTGCGAAGCCAGCCTCCTTCTTAAAAATCTCGGCGCTTTGAATTGGCAAAACCTTCGAAGTAATGAACCCTCGCACTATGTCTGGACCGTCGGCTCCCAACAGCTGGCTCAGGGGCACAGGCGCACCGCCCGCAGCTGGAAGAGACACGAGGTCGTGCGCGAAGGGGGCCACCGTGACGGGCTCGCCGTCGGAGTAGCCAGCGCCGACCTGGAGCTCCTGAAGGGCCACCTCGGTCGACAAGTCTGGAGGAATGGAGCCCATCGCCGCGCAGCTGTCGGCGAGATGCTCCAAGCAAAGCTGCTGCATCCTGTTGGGCTCCTGGCCCGCACAGCGAGGCGGGCCATCAGAGCCGGCATCCAGCTGGTTGAGCGCCACAACGAGCTCGGTCACGAGCTCCCCCTGCAGCGTCCTGTTGGCGCGGCGACGCCGCGCTGCGCGACCGCCGCTGCCGCCCGGAGCGGCCTGCGCGCGGCACCAGTCAGGGACTGGCAAGGGCAGGAGCGACCGCTGCATGTGGTCGTCACTTCCGCCCACCACCTCTTCTGCATCACCCCCGGGTCGAGGCAGTCCCGGGGGCGGACCCAGCATCATGACTCAGCGGGAGGAGCGTCCCGGCCGCCCTCGCTGGCCTTCTGCTCCTCCCTCAGTTTCCTCGCGTTCTTCTTGATGCCGTGGATCAGCTCCAGCTCATTTGACACCAAGTCGAGCAACTCAGGGCACACCATCGAGGGAGACCTCGAACCTCCCTTGAATGCGAAGGCCTCCTCCAGGGGCATCTTCATGTTGTGCTGCTGCTGCTGCTCCGCACACATGTCGTCCCAGTAGTGCTCGACGAGCCGGAGCTTCCTGTAGCCGAACACCGCCCTCGCCAAGTTGTAGACGTCCAGGTGATCGGCCGAGCCCATGGTCTCGATCATCTTGGACAGGGTCTCGTGCATGTCTACCCTGAAGCCGGTCGGGTTCAGCCTCTGCTTTGACTTCCACATCTCTTGATGGAGGGCCAGGCCCCCCTTCTTCACCTGGAACTTGGCGCACCGCTGCGCCGCCCTGGGCGGGGCCACGGCAAACCGCGGGGCGGCCTCCTCGCGGCACAGCTGCACCACCTCGCGCCACTCCCGAGAACTGCCGCCAGATTGCCCGGCGTCGGGCGGGATCTCGAGCGCGCACGCGTCGCTCCCGCGGCACTCCTGCGTGAACCACGCGATCTCGCTGTCCCGCAGCAGCACCGCACTGGCTCCGCCGCCGCCGGCGAGCGTGAGAAGCCCGCGGCGCCCAGCGCGTCCCACGAGGGTCGCTCCGCCCGGAACCCCGACGGCCACCTCCGCGCCGAAGGACACGGAGCCGTCGACGTCCTCCGCGGCCACCCAGTGCCAGCCTGGCGCGGGCTCCCCGCTCGGATGCGGCGCGGCCGCCACGGTGCCTGGCTCCGCCGGCGCCCGACCCGCTGGCGCCGCGGCCGCCCCGGGGGCGAGCGCCACGGCGGCTGGGACCGCGGCTGCCGGCGCCGGCGTGGCCGCGGCCACCGGTGGGGCTGGCGGGGCCGCCCCAGGGAGTGCCAGCTCACCCGGGGCCGCTGGCGCGGGGCACCTCCCGGCCACGCCGACCAGCGGGGGGACCGCGATCGACGGGTCCGCCAGCGATGCGCTGCCCGCCGGCGCGCCCGCACAGTTCAACGCGGACAGCGTGAGGAGGAAAGGCCCGTCGGGCAGCGGTCCATGCCCCGACGCGGCCCCGCGGCGGAGGGCGCTCCAGACCACGGCCGCCGTGAGCAGGCGGCAAAACCCGTAGACTCGGTTCGCCGGGACGACCCCAGCCCTGCCGCCCTGCCCGTGCACGAAATGGATCTCCATCACATCCGCGTCTGGATTCGTGGTCTCGCCGTAGTCGTCGTAGTCCGGGGTCATCTCGTACCCCGAACGATATACGTCCAGTCGCTCATGGCACAGAGCGGGGCCTCCTACGCGATACCTGGGCAGACGGAATCCTCCGGCCAGCGGCCCAGCATCCATCCTCAATAGGCAGCGGCAACCGGCGACCTGCGGAAGACCTTCGCCTGCTCCAGCGCGAGGTACGCGAGGTCGCCACCCCCCGGCGAGCGGTCCACCTCCACTGGCGCCGCGATGGGCCCCGCTGGCGCCCTCGAGCGAGGCCGCCCGGCCCACGAGACGGTCGCGGCCCCGAGCACGCCGCCCAGCAGGAGCGAGAGGCTCGCCACCCAGGCCAGCTGAGCCCCGTGGCACCCCGGGATGGCCGCGGCTGCCAGGGTGCCCTCGCCGCTGGGGCACGTGCACTGCAGCGGAGGGCAGTGCAAGGCCGGACTGCACCGGCAGTCCGGGCAATCGGCCACCGAGGCCCGGACGACGAAGGCGGTGGTCAGCGCCTGCCCCACGTCGTGGAGCAGCCCCACCAGCCCGGCCTCCATCACCCGGCAAGGTCTCAGCGCCAACAATGAGACCTCAAATGGCCATGGAATGGCAAAGGAGTGTGCACTGATCCATGGCCCTGAAATGCGGCCTCTCATGCTGTGGCGTCTGGCAATCAACAACGAAGTAGTGAGCAGGAGGAGGAGGAGGAGGAGGAGGAGGAGGAGGAGGGGTGAGGCCTGTGTTTTCCCAATCTACAGCTGAAAAGCCAAAAGCAGTATCGTAAGATGCCACATGCTTGCAAACGCGGTGCATAATATTCACCACGGTAGCAGGAGGGCATACACGGTTCGTGACATACGCACGGTCTACCATGTAAAGAAATAACATATGTACATATATACACAGAGGAGGAGGATGTGGCCTCCCCTCCTTCGTTATTTGGTTGTCTGGTGGCTCGTCGTCGTCGTCGTCGTCGTCGCGTCGTCGTCGGCGTCTTCGTCGTCGTCGTCGTCGTCGGTCGTCGCTGGCTGCTCGTCGCTCGTCGCTCGTCGCTCGTCGTCGTCGTCGTCGTCGTCGTCGTCTCTCGTCGCTCGTCGTCGTCGTCGTCGTCGTCGTCGTCGTCGTCGTCGTCGTAGCTCGTCGCTCGTCGTCGTCGTCGTCGTCGTCGGCGTCGTCGTCGTCGTCGTCGTCGTCGTCGTCGTCGTCGTCGAGGTTTACTGGAAAGCCGAGGTTTGCTTTACGTGTGTAAACTCCCGTGATCGCAGTCGTCGTCGTCGACGCGTTTTTGGTTTTTGGCAAGTCGGCCAATCCCGCTTCAAAGCAAAAGGATGGGGCAGCATTGGACGTGACGCGCTAAGTAAAGCACTCTTCGGCTGCCGAGGGCCAGGCCGGAAGTGGGGGCGAACAGGCAGAAACGGTTGCTTGTTTATTATACTATGTACCAAGCTGCGTGCACGGAAAGCATCAGTTCGATCTTGGAGTTTCTTTTCCATGGCCACTTTCTCAGCGGCTTTCATCTTTCTACGGGTATCCTCCGGGCTCGAACGCCGGAGTTGTCCTCTCCACCTCGCCTCTTGCAGCAGCCTCCTCCACTTCTCCTCCATCCCATCGCCCTTACCCCTTCGAGGCAGCACTCGGAAACTGAGGAGACAGGGGGAGGGCTGATGCGGGAGGCGAGGTGAGAAGGACAACTCACTTGTACCCGTCAACGCCCCGGATGGGTCCTCGATCTGCCATAGCCGGAGGTTGCGCCACGCTCTTCGATCAATAACTTCGAGGCCCACCTCCATCTCATAGTTCTCCTCGTCTTTCTATTCCTCCTCCTCCTCCCCCTCCTCCTCCTCTTCTTGCTCCTCACTCTCTTCCTGCTCGAAAATCATGTCCAAGGGGTCTTCTTCTTTCTCGTCAGTGTTGTCGTCCGCCTCCTCCTCCTCCTCCTCCTCCTCCTCCTCCTCCTCCTCCTCCTCCGCGTCCTCATCCTCATCCACCTTCACATTGACCTTCCCGGGTATCGGGCCAGCCGACGATGTCGCACTCGCGGACGGTGGTCGGCCGATCAGAGTAGCGGGCAGTACCCGTCTCTTGGGCAACATAGCTCCGACGAGGAATGATATGGAAATTATAGCCGTCGCCAGTCCCTCCTCCCCCCTCCTCCCTCCCCCCCCCTCCCTCCTCCCCCCTCCGACGACGACGACGACGACGACGACGACGGCGACGGCGGCGGCAGCGTGAAGGCGGCAACGGCGACGACCACAGCGGTGGCGGTGGCCACGGCGACGGCGGCGACGGGCCGGCCGCCGACCACCTTGGGTCCAAGATAGCTTCCCGGGCGGCCTGAGCGGGCCAGGCCACCAGGTTCGCCCTGGATGCCTTCTAGACGGCCCCGCCCCCGAGATGGCCCGAGGATGAGGGAGAAGGAGGCGGCCCGCCTAACTCTGCGCTCGCAGACGACAACGACGACGACGACGACGACGACGACGACGACTACGACGACGAACTACACCCAATGCGGCACCAACACCCAATTCGGCACACCCCTCACACGTTTCGTCGCCCTATAGGGAGCTCCACCGAAGGCGCCAGTGCCGCCGCCCGCATGCGCGCCGAATTGGGCGTAGGTGACGCATGCGGGCGATGACGATGACGACGACGACGATGACGATGATGATGACGACGATGATGATGGTGGGAGGAGGGAGGAGGGAGGAGAAGAGGAGGAGGAGAGGAGAGGAAAACGCGGGGCAACGTCTCTTCAAAACGAGGACCCAACACCACTGGACGGGTGGGAAAATCGATCGACGCACTGCTTAACGTTGCAAGGACCTTGTTACAAGAGGCTCTGGGCGAACAGAGAACAGAGCGGAGAAGCGCGCGGGCGCGGAAGCAAGGGCGCGCAGGGGGCTCCCGACATGCTGACGCGGATGCGCCTCCGCAAGGCCAGACTCAATTCACTGAGGGTGGCTCAACGCCATCTCCACCGTCCTCCTGTTCGAGGGCCAGGAGCTGCCTGGCTTTCTCCCCGTCGCTAGTGTCCTGCCTCGCGAGCTCCAACAGCGCGTTTCGGCCAGCGACCCGGGCGTCCAGACTCTTGGGGCCAGCGAGCCTCGAGGCGACCAACAATGCCCGTAGCACCACGCAATTGCGGATAAGAGCGAGGGGGGCCCACTTCAACCGCTTGCCCAGGGATGGCGCAAGACCGTTCAGCCCCCTCACTCTGACGTTATCGCACATAGGGCATATTCAGAATAGTAAGTAAGGGACGGCTACCCAACCCCATCTGCACGCCTGAATCCCACAGGCCATCTTGGGGTAGATCGCCCATTCCCCCCCCTGGGGGATGCCCCAAGATGGCCCGTGGCCCGAAGACGGCGCCCCGGAGCGCGTCGCTTCCAGGTTGACGGCAACTCGCCCAGGCATGTTCTCTGGATGGGCTGGCAGGCATACGCTAAGCGTCAATGATTCCGTAATGCATGGCGACGGCGCCCCTCCAGAGAGGGCACAGATCCCGCTGCATCGCTCGGGGCGGCCTGGGCCCGGCGGCCTAAAGGGGTCCAGGGGGGGCCTTGACTAAGAACGCTTCTTCGCAAACAACGCCCTTGTCTTCAGAAGATGATGATCTTCCTTCCTATCACACCCGCACTGCCCGAGCCATGCCATCACCAGGCCGAACGGGCGCCGCCGCGCGCCAGATGCCAGCAGTAAGCGTCGGTCCATTTTGCATTTCGCCGCCCCGACGATGTGGTCAGTGTTCGCACAATGGGCGTTGATTTGCTTCAGATTCGTGGACCAATGGATCTCCCCGCCGAGAATGGAAAGAGACTTGAAATCGCCTCCAGCTCGAGAGTACACAACCGGCTTCGGCTTTGCCGGGGCAGGTGCATCTGGCGCCTCCGGCGGAGGAGGAAGCGGCGGCGCCGCGTCTGGCTCGCCGGGCGGCTTGGCCTGGCCGTCGTCGGAATCAAAACTACTCGGCACATCCCCCTCATCAACAAGATGGAAAAGGCCTGCTGCGCCCGCGTCATGCGGGCCTGGAGCTGCCTTCGGCTTGGCCTTTGCCTTGCCCTTGGGCGCGGGCGGGGCGCCCGGAAGCGCGTCCTGAATGCTGGGGCCTTTTGGCTTCTTGGACTTCGGCGGCCCGTCCTTCTTGAACAAGCTGGAAAGGTTGGGCGGTTTCTTGAGCCGGGGCTCCTTATAAGCGCCAGGCCAAACTTGAGCACTTACGGCTGGCCAACGCACCAGAAGTCTGCCATGAGTGAAGAAGTCTGAATCTCCCTTCTCCCATTTGCGCCCCCCCACAATACAAAACAGCTCTGTAGAAACATCATGGCGATCCAAGAACGCCTCGGCGACGTCCCAGACAGACTGGAAAGCAAACTTCCCGCGCGGGTGCTCCTGGAACCACGCGGACTGGCACCCCTCCGTCTCACATGGCTTAATCGTAACCAAGCAGAACACAACTTTCTGAAGCGCAAACTGGCGACGAGCCCTCAACTCTGCGAAGCATCCGCCGCCCCTGGCCTTGGCCAGAGCTGGAACGCCCTCAGGCCCCCCGAACCCCCCGACCAGTCCTGAAGATTCTAAGGGGGCGCGCAGCTCCGAGTTCCGGGCGTTCTCGGCGCTGGGCGCCCCTGGCGATCCTAAGATTCATTACTCTGAACCGAGGCCAAGGGGCGGCGGGAGGCACGGCGAAAGCCGCAAGATAAAATGAGCTTGAACTTATCATCACTGGCCCCAGACCAATCACCGTCCCCAGACCACAGCAATATGAAAGAGCCACGCCTCTCTGCAGTCCAGAACGCCTCCAGATTTTTCGCCAACTGAAGCGCTGGCACGTAAATCGCGGCGTCTTTCGCCCAGCAGAGGCCTGGGTGCCTCTCTGCGCACGTGTAGCTGTGAAGGAATGTCCTGCCGTCGGGGATCTTGCCAGGGTCCACTGAGTAAGGGCAGAACTTCTTAGCGCCGCGAACTCGCTCGCCATGGCTAGCAAAACCAGTCTCCCTGCCCGCGCAATCAATCAACGCTTCCAAGCCCACGGGGTACTCTCCATCAGACGGAGACCAAGTCGAAACGCCCTCCCTCTCAGCTTGCGGCAAAAAGTCGGCAGTATCCAAGGCGTCGCCGCCCTCTCTACTACTTGCAGCGGGCCCGAACTTGGCTTCCAATCTCCGGCGCTCGTGAACGGCCATGCCCGCGAACTGCCTGGCTGCATCTGCCCGGCTGGACGAAGGGTCAACCTGCTTCATCTCGCGCAGCAGGTGGTTGATCATGCCGCTCTTGCGGTTGCTCCGAGACTGCGACTCTTCGCAGTGTTGGCTGGCTCTGAACCTGGTAGGAAAAGCAAAAGCTGCACCGCGACTTGGAGGTTGAGGAGGAACAGGGGGGGAGGAGGAGGAGGATGAGGAGGGCAGAGAGGGGGGGGACAGGAGAGGGGGAGGAGCCCGGGGCATGCGCAGGAGGAACAGGGGGGTGGAGGAGGAGGAGGAGGAGGAGGAGGACAGAGACGCAGAGGACCCCAAGAGGGGCCCAATAGAGCCCCACGACGGCTCCAAGAGCGCCC